AAAGAAATAAAATTATGCACTCCGTAAATAACAACTCCTTTGTGCTCACTTGCCTTATTTAAACTGTCAGAGGAGAAGTGTTCCGGAGTCCGGAGTAATGGAACGGCGAATGACTGGCCGATTGTCAGCTCGTACACTCTATCTACAGCTGAATCATTTCAAAAGCGATTGTGATTGTCACTTTATGTTTGCCTCTATTAAATGACCTGATCGATGACGAGCGTTGGTATCACTTAAGGTAATGAATTGGTGGGGCACATTACAATACAATTGAAACCCGCTTTCAGGCAATCATTCTGGTTGAGTTGATGAACACCTCTTCTATGGTGACGCCATTGCACGTGATGAGGCTTCTAGCAACTTCAGCACTCAGGTTATCGTTGTTAACAATTTTTATTACTAGATAAATATAAAAACATCTGAGCTACAGTTTCTCATGATTTAAATCTACTCATGGATTTGAAATTAATTTAGATAAATGTAATGTATTAAATTTTCAATACAATAAGTGAAAAGCGTCATTATCGTTTCCTAGACCAAATATCACCCACTAATAGACAAACTATAACTACGACAGATTCTAATCAATCAGTCCGCATTAGGAGGCGGCGCGGCAGATTGCAGTTAAGTCAATGAAGCGAGCTCATCTCTTAACAAAATAATCTCAACGAGTAGCGAGCGCCCGGGGACACTGCCCCATGGGATATCTCACGGGGCAGGGCTGACACGTCACGCCAATAATATGGTCAATCACTATAAGCCTCAAGAAACTAAGTAATGAAGAAATATATTTTTATTGCAGCACGATAGTGTTTGCAAAGCACCTGATGTATGTTGTATGGCAATTCAGTAACATTATTAACTACCAGGCAGCTTTTATAAGCTGCTGCTGGCGATCATTATTATGTTACCGGCCCGCTAAAACACAGACGCAAGTTAGAAAAACATGAGATGAAGACTGTTTCACATTTTGTTAATTAATTTAATTTGTCCTTAAATTGGAATATATTCGGGAATTTATTTATTGGGACCAAAAAGGCTGTGAAAAATTTCAATGAATATAACCCAATAGATAAATATTATTAAAGGTCATTTCTTAAATCTTGGGTGAAGAATGAAAAACTTAAAAAAAAAATAAACTCGTTCTATTGAATAAGTTATATTATAAGATTCAATTCTAACTCGTCAGTAAAAATATACCAGTATATTCTTTTTATAGAATGACAGCCCTGAGATATTGGTGGCTTGTAAACAGCGCATTATCCTTTTATTCGTACACAATGGGACACGGGGAGCTTCCCCTCGCTACACTATTTGGTGATCACGGCGATTTGGGACACTTGTTCACTTATTTTAACAACAATTATTCATTTATTTGTCCACCTTGCGATTTCGAGTAGCAAAAGTTTTGGTCTCTTATTATTTTCAGGTTGTTCCTACAAGAAATGATTTTCACATTACTTCCAAATCTTACATTATTGAAAATGTACTAAAACAAATGGCTATATTTATTTTACTTTTAATGGTTATATACTTTTCCTAAATGTAAATTTATAATAACAGATGTATCGATGTGAACTGCTGAACGGAAAACCCGAACACTTAAACAAAACAACAATACGCAACAAACAAAACAAACAGCCTCCAACTATCCGGCAGCGATGTTAATTCCCCAATTTCGACGCGCACCCATCAAGCGGACGCGAGTGTGGAACAATCACTCCGGCGCCGACAAACTGTTTCAACAACATTGCAAATACGACCCTTCCGTAATGCGACCATCATTACCAGACACCCGGTAATCCGACCAGAGATCCCCTGTTAATCTGATCGGTGGTAGCTCGCGGGGCCCGGAGTAGGTCTGCGTAAGGTAGCGACGGGCACATACAAGCAATAAATCGTCGACGCGAGTCATCCCCGCACGCGTCATTACCGTGCCGGAATGCGCTAAATTAACAATTACGCGAACCTTTGTACCTCTATGTTAATTAGTAAATTCGTGCGTGTACAATATATGTGTGCGGGGATCTATGCTCCTCGTGTTCCGAAAGTCTCGAGTTCCGCAATTTTGAGTTTCATTTGTTAACCGTAATTCAATTAGAGCCCTCAGATAACTTTCGCTCCACATTGGCGATTGAGAAACACAAAAGTGTCAAATAATAATGGTGTATTTAGCAATATTTTTAAATTTAAGCCATTGTTCAAATGTAAACTGAATATTTCACAGATAATTTTAAATATCTCTTAAAACATGCCATCAATTTCGGTACTACACTCACTAGATAGCATAAAACAAAGTCGCTTTCTCTGTCCCTATATCCGATGTATGCTTAAATCTTTAAAACTACGCAACGGATTTTGATGCGTTTTATTTTTCATAGATAGGGTGATTCAAAAGGTCGGTTTTTATGTATAGTACAAGACTATGCGGGCGAAGCCGCTGACGAAAAGCTAGTTTGGTAATAAATTCAAGTGCTATTAAAATAATATCAACTCCTTACATAATTACAAGTTCCAATCGATTTCTATGCGCTTTTAATCAAATGAAAGAATTTGTGGAAGTTTTGTTGTATAATTCCTTAAGATTTCTGTAAATTCAAAGTAAAAACTGCCATAATAGACCAGTACCTCTAGTACGAGTTTATGTTTAAATTATTTGATTACGATATCGTTTATAGTTTATGTTAAAATTTATGAAGCATCAAATTACTAAATAGAACGAACTTCACAGCTTTATTGTGGTCTCTTTTACACATTTATAAAAAGAAAAAGACAATGAAGCAACAATCTCATATCTCGTATCAGTATTTATTTTCGAAAACTATCTTTGCTATGTTTTGTTTCCAAATATTTCACCACGGCGCCTCCAGCGGAAACCATAATAAGCTAAAAATGGTACCTAGTTATCGAATGGTTTTCGAGTACACGCCAGTATCAGTTACAAATTTACCATCCAACTGAAATTAATTCTAACCGAAAACGGAAACTTGTCTTAATGTCGTCACTTGATTAAGAGTTTCATGTGAGAAAGAGGATAGTTCCCTTATGAGACATTTTATTTTTTATATATTTGATATTGAATTGATTGTTTTTCTTATGGTGACATATGGTGACAATGACAAAGGAAGATCAGAGCCAGTGTCGGAAGACTTTAGAAGAGGATAATTACTCTCACCCTATTCAATCTCAAAATATACTTTGTACTGTCGATTCACGAAAATTTCTTCACATCATCTCTGTGATACGCTTGAGAACATTGTTATAAGCATGGACGAATAAGACAGTAAACTGAGAAGCTCACAGAGACGATGTATGTCGAGTGATTGCAGCTAGGTGTTTTTTACCAAATTTTTTCCCTCTTTATTTCAATTTTTCTCCTCGATTTCGGTCATGATGAGACACTATTATTGATTGATTATTACTGACGTTTGATATGACCTACCTTACATTTCTCTTAATCGTTTCGTTTCGTTCGTTTATGCTTTTATGTTCCTTCAAAAGTCATTACTTATTAATCAAGTAATTCACAAAACTGTTGAACTACCGGAATGAGGAAGTATTTAAAAAAAAATAATAGTTACCGAAATCACACTAGATGTCGCTACGGTACTTTCTTGATTTCTCCATGACAACCTTTCCGGTTTTCTTTCATGTATAAAAGTAAATTCATTTTCAAAACTCAATAAACAAATCATATTCTATTGGTAATTTCAGTTTTTTAATATGTTTGTTAAAACGGAAATGAATATCTTTGGTCCATTCGTTTCCTGTAAAAATCATCTTTTGCTAGAGTCGCCATCTAGTGAGGTGCTTTTTAGTTACTTTTAGTTTTTTAGTGCTTTCTTTATTCATAAAATACTTCCTCATTAAAAAATAAATACAATAAAGAGACAACACAATTTTGAGATTTATTTCCATTCTAAAAAAAATATTTTTCATTTGTGTATAGTGGGAATCCATGGAGTGGTACGATATGTAGACGGCTATCATTTCAGAATGGACAAGCCAAAATCACAGATGAACTTTCCGAAAAGAATCCAATATTCCAAATTAGGTATAAATTTATCCTACCAGCAAATTTTATGTAAAGTCGTCTTTCCTAAAAATAAATGAGATATATGTTATAAAAACACCTCTAATATAGTTTTAATAAATAGTTATTTGAATACCTATAGGTATTGGTATTCACTACTGGTTATGCACTACTATTAAATGGGTCATAATCACAAACCAGCACGACTTTCAGTATCCCGTGTAAGGTAGACAAAAAGCAATGTCCACAAATATAATTCTGAAATCTTCCTTGTCTAAAATAAAATTATATAGTATGTCCCTCATAGATACACCCGGGATTTTCAAGAACAGGAACGACAAACAGATACACTTTCCTATTATAATATTATTGGCAATGACTTTACTCTGTTTTGAAATTTTTCTTTCATCAAAATTGATATATGTTTATTACAAAATGTTATATATTTCAATAATAGACTATTTCTTTGAATAAATCTTTAAAATAACCAAGAAATATCTCTCCTCTTTTTCATCTATTTGTTTCAAAAATGGCGTTGCTAATGTGTATCTTATATTAAACTTCACTTTGTACTATAAATTAAATGAACGATAAAACCATGATTTTGCATAAGACCATAGAACAGAATAATTGCTGTAGCATTATAACATTGGTTTTCATTTTGGTGCAAAGGTCTGACTACACGTTCCATATTGCTTGTGGGCAAGCTTAAACAGTATTAAATTGCGTATTCATGACGAGAGTGTAGCAAAGGCTTAATAAGTAATTGGATAGTCTAAACTAAATTAACTTGATACTGCCGTTTTTAATTCATTACGGTTACCACTAGAGGTGCTACTGTGATATGTATGGTAACGTAATTAGTTTTCGAAAACTAAAAAAACTAGCACTAGAGGCATAGAGCATGTTACTAATACAGTTGAGAGATTTCGCTTTTGACCTCTTCCTTTACTGCGCGGCCAACACAATGTTCAGTTATAAAATTAGTAGCGGCGCTCGCGGCGACGACCTGATCTACTCCATAAGCGTGAGCTCGTTGGGGTTATATCCCGCAGATCCCGGGCACATCCCGGATCCAGCCCGATTGAGCCGTCCCGCAATCAATACGCCCCCGGCTGACCCGCCGGTAATTGAGTAATTTCCAATTTCGGCCCGAACGTAGAGCTCCTTCAAATTAGTGGCGAGCAATTTTTGTTTCCGTTAAAGCTGATAATGAAACAATTTAATTTGTATATTCGTTCTATATTTTATGTTGAAGGTTTATATTTTAAAAGAAGGTTTATATTTGAACATCGGTATATATTGCGTTCACCCAGATTATCCATAACCTTTGCTATATTCGTGACGTAGTCCATTAAATTACTAACTATCGATCTTTTCCTACTAAATCCGTGCTGTGCTTCCGCAATTATGTTTTTTGAATAACTCGTTAAGACCGGATATATAAAACAATCAAATACTTTGGCAAACAGACTTATAATGAAAATCGGCCTTAATTTTGGCAATCTTCTTTAGAACCCTTCTTGAAAGTAGGATTAATATTTGAACGTTGCCATACAGTTGGAAATGTGCCAGACTACAAAGGAAGCGTTAAATTTTTTAACACTATTTTAATAAAAATAGGAGCGATATCATCTGGACCAGCTCCCTTGCCTTTGTCTAATGTTTTCAATAAGTCTAATGTTCCCCATTATTTTACGTACTGTGACCTCTAAATTTAGGAAATCTATCAACAAATGTGCAGTGCAGAATTACCAGGCTGGGCGTAAATAGTAGAAAAATATATGGCAAATAGGTTACATATACTCTGGTCATCATTTGCAGTAAAGCAATCTAAATGCATTTCCTCTGGAATACACCACTATAACCGTTGCTGCTGAATAAAACCTTCTTTTATTCAGCAGCAACGTGGTTCTAAAATTATTACGTATATTTCGAAAATATTTTTATATAATTAGTTATCTGCTACAGTTAAAAAAAAAATTAAGATAGAACGCATACCTAGTCAGAACTAGAATTTACCATTGATATATTTGTTTTTCAGATAAAACTAGTTGTCACTGAACTTACACCTAAAGCTGAACTTTAGTTAAAACTAGCATTAATAAATCATCCAAGTAAATTAAAAAGATTTTAGTAATATTTTATTTTATTTTGTAATTACGGAGCGTATGTACGTATTATCAGGTATATGAATATGTATGTAAATATTAAATTATATTTTAAAGGTTCACATTACAACCACAACTAACTAACCATACAGAGTAGGAGTAATATATAACGTTTAACATTGGTAAACAAACGGTTTTAATTGAGTGAGGCAAAGGAATCAGTGCCTTGATCCAATTGTTCGGTTGGATTGTCGTTAATCGCGTCTGATAGCGAGCTTAGTCGGCCCAGTAAACAGACGAAACTGCTACACTGCGACTTACTGTCCACTATAAATAAACCAAAGTACACACACCTACGTAAAATACCTTTTTGTGATTGTAAAAGGTTGGGGGAAAAGTTTCTTCGCACTTTATATGAAAATTCAAAACGATTGTTAATTAAGTTTATTTACATTTAACTAAAGTATGTAGGTACCATTTTGTTCGATAACTTTTTGCCATCTAGTAGGTAGAGACATGATCCCATTGCTATAGAAATTTTGGGACTTTTGATTAAAAAACCGCGACAAGTGGTTTCGGCAGTCCTCGCGTGATATAAACCTGACACTGTCTAAAGAATTCTTCTTTTCATCGCCATTTATCAGCTTGTTCAAAATGGTTCGGTTTCATTACGCCATAATAAAGAAACAAATGAGTACGCGGCTCATTAGGTTTCTCTCGGTGAAATCGTGAGGTATCCAAATATCTAACTTTTTGTGTATCCAGCTTCTTTTCAAATGCAACAAAACCATTTTGTTCAAAAAATATTTTAAGTCGATTGAAGCTTTTCTGTCCTTACGAATTATTATAATAAGATATTTTTTAGTTTTATTTTTATTAATTTTAGTTCACAAAGATCTCGTGGAACATACATACAAAAAATAAAAAAAAAACAGCCAAATTGAAAATCTCCTTTTCTGAAGTCGTATACAAATCGTTATATAAAAAAAGGATTTTACTTCCCAAATACACATTTATTGTTAATTATATCTATTAAATTTGCTCTTTTCGTGTAAATGTGACAATGAATGACATTATATCATACATGTGGTCAACAGTATCTCCGATATTTTACTAGAATATATTTTAAACTTTTATTAAAAAAAAAAGCAACAATGTCAAAATCTTTATTCAAATAGACTTCTTAAAAGTACTTTTGAATCGTCAAACATTTTTTTCCCAACCACTCGTTCAGGACGTCTTTTGATTGATAAGAAGAACGAGCAAGAAACTCACCAGCTCTATTAAAATAGATTCTACTAAACAATAATGTTACAAACATTAAAATAAACGTAATACAAACATTGTGATCAATTTAGGTAACTCTCATTACAATGTACAATAATGAAATCATAACGCATAATTATAACAGTAATTGACTTAATTTAGGTAATATGAGGGAATGCGTGTGGGTATGATGGAGGCTGACGGGGCGGGGCAAAGAGGGGGGGTAACATAATACTGCGGAGTATTAATTTGGCGAGCGGATCGGGTTTAATTAACAAATTTAATTAGAAATTAACTGTTTTGCGCAGACGGGCGGCGCGGTGCTCTCGCGACGCAGGGTTGGCGCGTCCTGGGATACATTTTAATGTTGATTACATTTCATAAACACAGTAAAATAAACGTACTATTACATTAGCCTGTTCTTCAAGTTATACAACTAGAAAGTTAGTTGATATATTCATGAAACTTCTTTCGTAATCAGCTAAGACGCCAAAATTAATAAAATTAAAAAAAATCAAATTAAATTTTTTATCAAAAATAATGTTGAAGTAGTGCGTTCTCAAAAAAATGAAACCGCGCGTTGTCCATGATGCAACTACGAAGAGTGCTGAGCTGAGTCTGAACTCTTATCCTTCCCGGTCTCGATTTTAACAATAAAATAAGTCGAGGCTGAGCTGACCATTGAGTTTGTTAAAGAAACCATATAGTATAAACACAACTATATAATTTGTTCTCACTGAAATTTGCCATTGTTTTATATGCTACATTTTTAGAGTTCCATACGCAAAGGGTTAAACAGGAACCCTATTACTTCGCTGTTTGTCTATCTGTCTGTCTGTCACCAGGCTGTATCTCATAAACCGTGAAAGTTACACAGTTTATGTATTTCTGTTGCCGTTTCAACAACAAATATTAAAATCCGGAATAAAATAAATAATTAAGGGGGCTCTCATACAACGAACGTGATTTTTCTGCTTGTTTCCTTTACGGAACCCTCCGTGCGCATGTGCGCGTAAAATGAGTTTAAATAAATAATCTGAATCAAATAATATATGTAATAACAAACAGAAACACTAAAATATATAAGAGGCCAGCTTTCATCAATTAATTTTGTATTTATGAACTATCGACTGCATATAATATTTACTCTTATTGCATTTATGTGGAGTATCTAATGTAAAATATGTTGTTTAATTCTCGACTTGGACGACAGATGCAGCCCTACACCAGGCGAGCTACGGCAAATTTGAAAATTTAATTTAGTTAGTGATTGTTCCCACTAATTGGTTTGTTTCCAGCGCTTAGTTACTATTTCAGATTGTCACAGCACATTCACAGCGACCGGTCACTATATTATTCGAACGATAGTATATTACTTCACAATACATCAAATGATTACAAATATAGTTGTAACAGCGGCAATTTTTTTTATTAGTATTGCAAATAAAATATTATTATCAAACAGTAACTCTTTTGCACACAAAATCAGTCATACTAAGACTTAAAAATTTATGAAACCATATAATCGTTTTATAATAATCCTGACGTGCTGTCGATTTTACAAAGTCAATTTTGCTTTATTATTGTAAAATAATATTTTCTTTCAAAATTTTTATCAATCAAACGAATGATTTTTCTAAACAATTCAGAATGACCTATTAATATCTCCATTGCTTAAGTGTAGGCCTGCCCTATGGATGGCAACAGAATCAAGTTGATTCCGGCTGCATCTGCAATCGTTTACTCCAACAATCCACAATGGGCCCAAGTGATGACTTGCTTCCTTGTATGTTAATGAATTATTATTTAGTGAGCAGATGAGTTATGTTTTAAACTATCGTCTGATGCAGGTTGGCTCTATCTTTACTTCGGTCTCTTTGTTGTCAGGTGTGGTTCCAAAACCGTCGAGCAAAATGGCGCAAGACTGAAAAGTGCTGGGGCCGGTCCACCATAATGGCGGAGTACGGGTTGTACGGCGCCATGGTGCGCCACTCGCTGCCGCTGCCCGAGACCATACTCAAGAGCGCTAAGGAGAACGACTCCGTCGCGCCCTGGCTGTTGGGTGAGTATACACATCTGGAAATATATCATAACAAAGTTAAAATCATGGTCCGATTACTCTAGTCGATGACATCCGCGTGCAGCGATATCTGTGGTTCGTTTTCATTGGTCGGTCATTGTTTTATTGACTAATGAGTTCCGCCTGCCGTCCTGCTGTTCGTTGTAACTGAACAATCTAATATTCTCTTTATTACAATTCAATTTGCTTTAAATGTACAACAGTTTTCAATACGCCAATTCTCACATCATCGGTCAAAGCAAAGTCTGGCAAACTAAATAAACAATATTTAATTTATATTTTTGGATTCGGCCAGTCGATAATATGAAATTCTTTATGCTATTTTGATATTCGTGATTTACTCCATATTTTGAAAACATATTGTAAATGAAATTTTCTTAGATTTGATAAGATGTGGAAATGGACATGGACTCCACGAAATTATGCTAAGATTTTTAATGCCGCTAAATACCGCAGTAAAATCGAACAACTGACTGTACACGATTGAGATATCAAATAACAACTAGAAAAAATAATGGAATTAGTAATTTTCAATCTAAATTGACAATAGAAGGACTTAAGAGAAAACTCAATGATTTGCTTTTATGAAATCAAGAAAAATAGGCACCAGAGGACCACATAGGCTCATTTATGCTGTTGGATCAGCCCTATAGTACCTACATAGTAGAAATATTACTGTTTTAACGTCAAGGTTAAGTAATAAATAATTTAAATAACACCACACTTCTAAGCGACACGTAGCAAATGTTTAGGTTTAGATACTTTCTATCAGTGGTACTGGCGACAAGTTGATAGTACTGTGCCCCATCACTTAATCGACAATACGAGTCGCACGACATGACAAATAACTTGTAATTTTTTTAAAGCTTCTATTTTCATTGCCTGGCGTAAATTGATTCGTAGTTTTTCGATAGACTTAATAAAAAGTCACCTTAACTTCAACAAGACAAAATTAATTTAAGTAGTTATACATAGTTAGGTTCGTTGTATATTTTATACGGGAAACAAATGTTTACTTATTGATTAGAAAACAAACTTCTATATGTCATGTTATAGTAGAAGATTTTAAGTACATTCCTTTCAATCAAGTCGTCTTCGTGTATCTTCTATCGATCATATAGATTTTTTTAGCTCTCACACTATTTTACACGGTCATTAAAATCACCTTAGTAATATTAATATTTGCATGTCAAAACGAGGTATTTCCAAATACACGCAACGCACATACGACAGTTTTAATTGATTGTAGATACCAGGCAATCCTGCCACTCTTGCCAGTCGACTGATACTTTGTAGCAATTAAAGTATTCTGTAACTTACCCCAAATAAGTAGCAAATGATACTCTTTTGTTTTGCTTAAGATTTTCAATTTCTTGTAACAGAATAGAGCTACTTCAATAAAATCAACTATTTTGACTCAATTTTCTATAACACTTACGTAATTATATAAATACAAATATAAGAGATGAACTAATACGGCACAGCGGCTCACTGCATGAGACAGTAACTCTCTGAGTGTGCCGAGATTAACTCGATGAGTTTAAACTCGCAGAGTATCCATTCTGACTGTGGTGATTTTGTTCAAGAGTCGAGAGCAGTGACCGAGGGCGGGCGGCCATAGCAGCCCCCTGCTCACAGACCTCGCGCCGGTGAGTCCACACTCACTACACACTCACTGCTTGGTCACTGCTTCTCTACTAATTAGCTTGAACAAACTCACTATACTCGTGCATGACAATTTAAATTAGTAGCCGACTAATATAAATGCAACTTTGAATTCACATAATAAAACCTATCAAAAATACTACCTACTTTTTTATATTGTATCTATAATGCTTATTTTCCTTAAAGTAGATTTGCTTATTTAATATCAATAATAGAATAGTCATTATAAAAAATAGATTCTGATAAGTAACTTATTTTACTAGGAATTTTGGTCAACTTTTATAATATGTCCACCAACATCTTCTACCCTTAAATATTCTATTTTATCCACTTTTATCATATTGTGGAATACTTAGGTTCGCAACATGCTGGCTAACCATTTATATAAATTAATCTTACGATAAGCATAAAAAAAAAATCTAAATTAAAAAAGGTACCCAAAAATTTTACAAATATTGTCTATAAAAGGTACAGGTAATTAAAGAGATGCAAAGCAAGATAGCACCGTTACATTTCATTATTATGTATCGAATGGAAGTCTCTAAAAATCTGTTTGAACTGAAAACCTCAAAAGCAAATGAAAAAAGTTCCACAATAAACCTGTTCCTATGACATAGACAACAAACCTAAATGCTTTCGAGCGCTATGAATCAGTGGACAAACAACGAGACCACCACTCCACTCCCCCCACTCCCTTGCCCAAACAAAGGGAGTATAATTTTTAATCTCAACAACAGAGATGCTCATTTTTCGCAGCGAAGAGGTTTTTCAAAAACATTCTGTAGCCAAGGAAATCTCAACTGTCCCCTTCGGCAATAAAGGTTTAGGTAACCGCATGTTTGATTTGGTACTCTACACGAAAACAAGAAAATGTTGACAGCTTATGAGGAGCGGTTTATTTTTGTCTCCGCGCGGTGGCGACAGCGGCGCGGGCGGTGACATGTCGCCTCGTACCGATCATATTTTACTTTGATCAACTGTGTAATGTTTATGGGGTTGAGGGAATATATAAGAAAATGTTTGGGTTTCATTAATCCATTTTAGACAAAGACTTTACTACAACAATTTGTAAGAAATACGGAGGCATTTTTGTCTTTACTTTAAGATTATTTACACAAGTTATTTAAGTTTCCGAAGTTCCGACACCTTTGCATCGAAGTATGTACCTCTGTTACTGAGAATTTTCAAAAATTGATGATTGAAAAATACATTTTTGCAATATTTACCTATATAATTAACGACCTTCGTAGCCGAGTGTTTCAAAAAATATTTTAAATTAATTATTCGCAAAATGTAGAACATTTATTATCTCGAACTCCTCTGTGCTTCGAAAGTCACGGTAAGCCATTGGTCCCTGCCGCATCTGCAGGGCGTTAACACCCACCAATCCCTGTGCCCGCTCGGCGGGTTAAGGCCCATTCTCCCTATTTGATTTGATTCGATTGCATTAATACGGAAGGCCTGAGCCCCAGCAACAATAGTCTGGTGATGATTGTGATAAAATAGGATTATGATCATTGCAAAATACTCAACTCGAAAGCTGCCTATAAAGTAATTAGCATCTTTATATATTTTGAGCAAAACCTAATATTATTTAATATTCAATAATTCAGTTTTTTAGAAACTCTAATAAATTCGGTTTTTTGTTTCGACGCTCAAAATGTCGTCGTCTTATTTATAAATACAGTTTATTACGACCATTTCGACAATGCTTTAGTTACAAACGTGATTTAAACTGCCATCTATTAAATCTAATAACTAGACACTATATGGCGTTTACTGATCTCGTGAAAATTTCAACCCGGAAAGTATGTACAACAACACCTGGATGTTCCTGTTCTGTGTGTTTAGCTTTCAGGTATTTTTTAGACTTCCGTATCCTATTATAAAAAAATAAGACTTCCCTGTCTGTCTATCTGTCACCAGGCAGGCAGATGTATCTCATGAACTGTGAAAGTAAGACAGTTGAAATTGTCACAGATGATGTATTTCTGTTGCCGCTTCAACAGCAAATACTAAAAACAAGCATACAATAAATATTTAAGATGGCTCCCATACAACAAACACGATTTTTTTGCTCGTTTCCGGGTCGGAACCCGCTCGCGCTTGGCCGGTATTTTTAATTTAATGCACAGCTCAAAATTATTTCCATTAAGCTTCCAATAAAATACATTTGTCTGGAAAATATCTCTGTTCAGCAACGAGGCCGCCTTTTGCTATTATATTATCTTCCTTTATTGTTTGTAAATTTAACTGTGTTGTACAATAGTTCGTAATACTCAAAATTAACACTAAATTATTTTGTATGATTAATTTATAAGTTTTCTTTGGACATTCAAAGACCCAGAATCTATTGTTTACGTTCTATTTATTGACTACTAAAACTATTCAATATTCTAATATTAATACTTTTAATTTAAAATTTTATAATTATTAAGTTTACTTAGTAAACTAACAATCAACACTAATATTATAAAGAGGTAAATTTCGGACTATGTTTGATTGTAAGGGTAATCCTTGGAAATACTGATCTGATCATGACAAGTTTCACCTACGGGAAGCAGCTTCTTTCACGGGTGACCAAGGCTAGTTCATAAAAAAAAGCTAGTTCCTCAATTTTTATTCAATAATCAACGAATCAAATCAAAATTATGAATATCTTCATCGTCAATATTTATATTATAAAAAAAGATATGTGAAACTTCGGCGACCAGTATTCGCTCGATATTTTGACTTTATCCCTATAATAATAAGTCATAAAAAGGATTAACTATACTAAATAAGTCACAGGCTGTTTTCCCCCTAAGCCTCCGCGGCGGAAGATGGGGAGCGGAGCGTGGTGGGGGTAAGGTGGCGGGGGCATCATGGCCGCGCATTGTCTAAGGCTCGATCGCGCCGCTTACATATTAATTATATAAAACGCGCCGCGGCAGGTAGACGTCTGCGGTGCATGCGTTCTTGTGGTCGTTTTGTTGTGGGCGGTAATAAGTTGAATAAATAGCGCTGTAATGATCAAAAAATGTAAACAGCGACCATTTTGAAATAGAGAATTTTCATAAAATTTCTGTATTTTTATTTCATTTCATAGCTATGAGGTCCCGGGTTCGATTCTCGGTCTGATCAATATATAATATGAAGTTATCTACCTACTTATATTGTCTCGCGTTTGAGTGTTGTAGCAGTGTCACCTTCAGACACTCAGGCCTTAGCTACTCATCTTGGAATCAGCCCCCTTTACTCCCGAACGCAATCGCGGCCGATCGACATCGCAATTGTGCCTTGATTGGTTTACTATCATATTCTGGCGCTAGTGTAATGGCGCGATTGCGTTCGAGAGTAAGGGGGCTGATCAATGTAGTGATATTTTCTTATATTTATTTATAATAAGACAGTAGAGAATTTGGATATTAGAAATTTAGAAAATAAAATATATATTTGTATATATAAGAGGATTTTTTGGAATAATTAATTACGGTTTTGTATTGAAGATGTCAGAAAAAAATGTGCCGACTGAAAGCTAAGCGCATGAATTGTGCCTAAACGAAGTCGGAGAATATCTCTAGAGTACTTTATTTAATATTATACGATATTATGAATATACCTATATAAATTATACCTGTCTACTATTATTACTCTACATTTATTCCGACCATTCTATTTACCTGAAAATAACATTAATGAATGAAAGTTACTACAATTAATTAATAATTATATTTAACAGATCCATTTAAATCTAATTAATTATAATATTGAGTCTTAAACGAAATAATTTACCTACAAGACGCAGGTGATATTAATCATAACTTACCAAAATGATATTAATATATTAAAATTAACGAATAGACAATATAAAATTATAGGTTAACAATTATAACGATAAAAATTCGAAAATTTCATTCATAAAAAAAAGGAATATAGGATGCGCGTTTACAAAGTCCATGTCCAATTATAATTAATACCGATTCATACGAGAACGCTTGTGGGACAAAATAATCAATTTATTATCCATTTGATCAATGAAACTGAATTAACAATAAAGTAGAAAATATAACGTTTACCTTAATCAACAGTCAATGAGTCCCTATTTCTGTGTCAAAGTGAGGACAGGAGCGAGTTGTTCGCGCGCCGATACAAATGTAGTGTAATGCACTCTGAGAGCACCGTTACAGTGTTATCTGCCTATTATGCACTCGCTTTGTTCATCCATCTCGCTGCCACGCAATCTTGTCATTAGACAAATGGACGTAGTTTAATTTTGCACTCGACTGGCAGACTTTGATAACTGGAATACCTCGAGAGATATTACTAGCTCTAACTTGACTTTCAAATTGTGTTCTAGCTTTGATCTGCATCATTCAGTTTTTGATGAGAGATATTTAATTGTGGGTACTATCCGTATTCGTAAGTCGGTGCTCCTATTTCAACTCTTTGAGCAAATTTGAAGTAAAAAGCTCGTAATTATGTGACGAAAATTGCTTGGTATATTTGATATTCTAGTGTCACTGTTCTAAATGCACAATTTATGAATACAAAAAATATCAAAATACATCATGTCTTTCGTATATTAATATTGCATTCGTGGTCAGAATCCACTCCACCTTCCAGCTAACGAACACAGATCAGATATTTCATGTACACAATTAAACATAAAAAACACAAACATTACACATCAGAAAAATGTGCATCGAATATTATAAATTTCAGTGTCATAAATGATACCTACTTTACAAAACACCAATACGCAATATTCGGCTTGTGAATCAAGGTATACTTTAACGTAATTAAATTAGAAATTATGACGTTAACGTAATAAAGTGTACTCAGCAGAACCTGTGGGTAACAGGAATAAGAAACATAACTGGGAATTGGTACAAGAAATCTTATAAGTATTAGATTTGATAAATATTACAGAAAACATAATGCAGTAAAAATGCACATACACTTGCCACAGCGAAGCCTGAATATTATGGAAACCTGGATTATCTGCCTCGATCAGTTTGTTGTGACAAACATTAAACGACTGTATCTTCTCTTGAAGTTTTGGCGACTAAATAACTATTAATGTACTTAATAATACAGAATTAGATAACGCAAAACTAAAAAGCTCATCAGTTTTTGATGATTTGAAAAAAAAAGTAGAATTCTGTAAAAAAGTAATAACCACTCAAATGTATGTATTAATATAATTGACTAGTGTACAAAGATCCGGTAATTACCCGGGTGTTGTGGTGCCTAAATCAACAGGATTTATGTTCACGTCATGGTAATGGCGTAAGTTGGTAATGGCGAAATCGGGCGTACCACCCGCACTATGTTGTCCACACCTAACGAGCAGAGTTCTGGATCAACTAATGAACTGCCCGACACACACTACTTCACCGTAATATATCTTGGATGTTTTTCGGGCAATATATAGTACTTCTATCAATATACAAGAGAACGCAAGACAACTGCGAACAAGACAACAATCTTCTCATTTTTTCATCTATTACCAATGCAATTTATACGCAAATAGGAAAAAACAACACAAATTAAGATCAAAACTTTCATCCTTTTCTCTCTGGAACCTGGAGATCTTTACAATTAAAAAATCAAGTCCAAAGTAATTTGTACTTCTTCAAAGTAATTTGTATTGTAAATATTAAGAATCAAGTTATAAACATGATTTGGATGAAATACACTAGTATGCAAATAATTCACGTTCGATAAATGTGCTTCCTTGACATTTACCTATTAAGTACCTTACTATCCCCCTCTTAGATTTAAGTAGTATATAAGACGGAGATTGTTTAGTTAAACAGAGATTTTGGTCAACCTGGAAGTTGGTACCATTTCTTCCCTACCGCGATGCCACTATTTAACTCGATTGGGTGAGAAGTAATATCATAATAATAGAATTCAATATCGATTAAAATTGTATCTGTATCTGCATCAGTGCATATATCAGTAAATATTTATAATTTAATGCTTATAATGACATAATTAAGGGTTGTGTAAGTCTTAGGCTTACTGTTATTTTTATTTTGGGCAACTTTTTGACCGGATTTATTATAACTGTAATAATGTCTTTTGTTTTTTTATATTAGGATTACTGTTGTTGTCTCGAGTTAATAAAAAAAAATAAGTTGTATATAATTTCTAGTCAATCTATCAAATATTTTTTAGTTAGAGAAAAATAAAATTTAGTTAAAAAGTTAGAAATATAAACACGTAAACAAACTTAGAAACATTGGTATGCATTGACGACAGTAATCAAACGTTTTCCGAATTTTCCATAATGCGATTTTACCTAGGATCAAGTATCAAAATTATTCCTAGCGCTAGATCAACCTATACAATTGAAGCAAATCAGCATTGTCTATAAAGTTATCTTTTGATAAAAAAAAATAGGGGATTAAAGGAATGTTAAATAATTAGTAAATTTCAGACAGTCCCAACTGGGGACCGGGTCACATTAAAAATAATTGCCTGAAATTACCACGATAATATGAAATTCACAGCATTCTTCTTTGATGTGATCCCAACGAAAGTATCACCTACAACTTCTTATGATTAGAAATGCCAACGTCGCCATTAAGTCATGGAATTAAAACCCCGCAATACAAGCGGAGAGGCGACACATACAAGCCCCTCGGTTCAACTATAAATATTTAACGCGCGCGTTCTGCGGCGGATGTCACCGAGCGGATTAGCATGCACGCCGCGCGCAAATCTCGTAAAAATACTACACGCACAAATATGAAATACCAATGGTCGAGCTTAGAACGGGGTTGAACAGAACTGGGGGCTTAATTTATGGCGACTAAAATATGAGGCTCCTTTTCTGTTTTTGCATTCACAATAACGTTGGTCAGCTAATGACCTTCTCGAGCACCGGAGATTTTAGATGTAATTATTTACTTCATCGATATATTTGCTGCAGTTACATATAGCATATAAATATTGGTCAGCTTTAAGATAATTTAATACTAATCGATTCTTGAGATTTTATGATATATAGCTAATTTTTGAAATTCGCATGCCAGTACCTGGCACGGTACGTACACTTCATAGTTTTATGGGTAATGTGTATTATATTTTTTTGTACAGTGTGCTGTCTGCTAATAAATGATTTGTACAAATTTTCATAAAATTAACGAAGTAATTGATAAATTATTGAAACGGCCCGCATATAAGTGAACACAGTTTTTATGCCTCGAGCATATGTTATAAACAATTCACAGAAATGAGCAGCGCAGTTTTTTCAGTTGAATATTAGGAGTGACCCTCCTTTAGAAACATTAAGAATTCATCGCCTGCACTTTATTAAAGTCCGTCTCTGGCACAAAACTCATTTGTCACGCAATCGTCACGTCGCCGTTACGTGACAGACGCATTACATTCTGCAATGTGCAGGGACTGCAGGCCGACTGCTATATTTGTGGGACGTGCTGACAATTCATTATGACATCTCTGCTGGACGAGGGTTGGCGCTAAAAATCAACCTCGAACTCGACCTACAGCGCAACACTGACACGTCATAAAGCTTCAATGAAATTAAATATATATTACTTTTTAATGTAGGTTTTATTCGATTGGATCGTTACGAGTTAGACGACCAGTTCGAAGCAGTTTTTATAACACGTTATTTGTGGCAACGCGACATGACATGGAAATGTGTAGATGAATGATCGCTGTTAATATTGGTGCGTTTGTTGTGTCAGGCATGCACCGCAAGTCGCTGGAGGCGGCGCAGCACCTGAAGGAGTCCGGCTCCGAGCGCGAGGGCTCAGAGCCGGAGCCCGAGCGGCCCGGCTCCGTCTCGCCGCACCGAGACCCGCACGACCCGCACGACAACCAGGTCAGACATTACTTTCAAATCCAGTATCTCATCTGTTTGCGAATACGGAAGCCTTGTACTGAGAAGAACCGACAAAAAAAAAACTCAACAAAAGCTGCTTACTTCTTGCTTTATATGTTGGATATGTTTTTTCACATATCGGTTTTTTAGGTGATACTATGCTTTCCTACTTTCTAATCCTACCGACAGGACTTAAATTAAGAAGACAGATGAAATGGCTCGAAGTACACTTGCACTCCGAGTTAACTTGTCATAGAAAAAGCATGTGTAAACTCGTCATAGCATGCTTTAAAAAAAAATTGCTATAATAATATGTATTCAACTCTACACTCGCCACGTACGTACGGAATCTCTAATAATCTCTAATATATAGAATCTCTAATATATACGAGTTGTAATAGCTGCTACGACATGACTACGATCCATATCGCTACATTTGCTACATTAATCGTAACAAACTTCACCCGGTTTCTGAATAGAGATTTTGAAGTTAAATACGTCTCAAACTGTACATCACTTAAAAAGGGTTTGATTTCTGATTTTAGTTTTTTTAGATTGCAGTTTGATAAAACTAGGACTTTTTGACTTGTGAAATGTAAAAAACTTAAGCTAAGTGTTTAGAATGATCATTTGAGATTTTGTACTTAGTCAATTCAGAAACCGGTCGTTAGTCATGTGGGTACTGTCTTCGTAGTCGTAGTAATTTGATTTAAGGCAATGGAGTTTATGCTCATATAGCTCAAGTGTCTGTATTTTTAATCTTTTGTTTTCACAAAAATTTTGGTGTTTCGATTCTTTCTGTGTTTGAGATAACTGAAAGGGTAAATTATTTAAATAATTAGGTTATCATGATAAAAAACCACACACACCCATTCTATTGATTAATTCTGGCCGCTTTCTCTCAACTTCTTGCTATGATCTCATCAGTTGTTCCCAGTGAAGTTGAGACTCGATGGTTCTGCCTGGCTTAACAGCTCATAATGAATAATGGCCTTTCCAATCCACCATACATACAGCATCACTTTGTTGCTAGTTAAACCAGGTTTCGTCACAGTCTGTGAAGCCTGACCGACCTTTCTCGCACGTTCTTGTCGTACATGATTCACTTTTCATCGCCAGTTATCAACTTCTTCAAAAATAGTTCGGTTTCAATGCGCCGTAACAAAGAATCACAAATAAGTACACGGCGCATTAGGTTTCTTTCGGCGAGCTCGTGAGGTATCTAAATATCCAACTTTTTGTGTATCCAACTTTTTTCAAATGAGCCAAAGCTTTTGTGTGAACAATCTTCATTTCTTCGGCTACTTCGAACCACTGATATGTTCTTCCTCCACTTTTTTTTTAAAGATTGCATTCATTTTATCCGTTTCAGGGTGACCGGAGTGACGTGCATGTCTGCAATCAAAAATTCCGGTCTGAAAACGTTTAAACCAAATTTGTGTTACTGAACACAGAAACTGCTCTTTTTTATCGTGGCTTTGCATTTTTATCTTTCTTGTAATAACATTTTAAAATGTATCGAATTTCCTCATAAGATACAGTCATTACGACTGTAAAAAAAAAAACAAATGTGTATGACACATTTTTTAGTTCGAATTCGGAGTTGTCTTTTGTAAAACTTACACTTTTTAACGATACCAAAACCAGCCAGATACTAATACAAGGGTGGTTTGAAAATTTCTCCGCCTGACAGAGATTTGAGGGGGAGACCGAGGGGATTTGAAACAAAGGTGAGTTGAAACAGTACCAATTTCTCGGAACTTAAAACCGTTAGCGAGTTAGCAACTTCGCCTTATAACTATTTTTCTCCACCCGTCGTGGTGGGAGTTCACGTCGGTGGTGTGCATCGCGCGGTTGTGGAGTTCTGTCAGCCGTATGTCAAAAATCGTGAAAAGTAAGTTTTTAAGGCTTTTTTATGATGTTTATATTTTTATATAGGTTTTGTATTTTGGTTTAAGTTATATGTGTTTCGAAAACTCTTTAACTAAAGATTTATTGTATATATTTGGTACAGTTGATTTCTTTGTATTTGCTTCCTCATTGTAGATTAAATAGAAATCGGAGGTTTTATTTCTACTGAGGAGATTTGAAACAGACTGTTTCAACTCTCCTTGGTCTCCTCTACATAGATAACATGAGATATTGGAAAATGGCTGTAAAGCAGACAAATGCCACATCATACACTTCACGAATGTTGGACACAGCGTGACAGGTAGTGACGCTTTTTAATTAATGTCTATGCTAACTTAATTTATTTATTTTGTTTTAGAATGCCAACTTATTATAAAAGAAAGACTGACAGGGGTATGGCAAGTCGCGAAATATATGATCTCGCAGCAGAAAAAGTTATTTTGCGACAGAAAAGTCTCGGTGACGCGGTTTCGAGTTATAATCTGAACGATACATCTCTCTGCAAGTATATTAAAAAAATACCTGCTTATGAAGGCAACGAAACGGCAACTGCTCCTACAGTTGGATATCCTGAAAAGACTGTTTTATCAGCTTCAGAGGAGAAGGCAATCTTTTAAACTGCGTTGCTGTTAACTTTGGCCTAAGAACTAAAGAAGCCAGAACTTTTGCCTATAAATATAGTATATAAAAAAATAGAATAAAAAAATCCCTTCTGCTTGTACTGAGCATGAAATGGCTGGAAAGGTTGGTTTTGATCATTTATGAAACGGCATCCTGTTTTTTCTCTTAGACTACCTCAACCTACAACTATCGCTCGAGCTACAAGTTTAGCAGATCAAAAGAACAACTTTTTTCCAAAATTATACCACAGGGTTACAAGGGAAGGATATATGGAACATTGATCAATCAGGTATTACAACAGTTCAGAAACCAGACCGCATCATTGTAATACTTAAGAAATTACTGAAAATTAATAACTATTGTATGTTAAAGATTTAGGAAGATCCTTTTTATTTAAGTTGAAGGTGAAATTAACTACTTTAAGAGTTAAATATATTTATGAGACCTGTAGTTACCTACTTGACTGATGTATCAGTACAAAATCTTAATATAAAAAGTTGTTTCATACTAAAAAAGTTTTATTTAAATAAATACATTGAAATTATATCATCTTTTTTATTTTACATCCCTTAATACTTCTCAAAAATCATATGTTTCAACTCTCCTCGTCCCCTGTTTCATCTTACCTCGGTATGAGGAGAGTTGAAACAAATTGACTTGTTACGGTTAAGTCGATGTCTACCACAATATTTAACGATTATAACTACTTTACGTTAGTCATTCGCAAGTGTAAATAATTACCTATCGATTGGTACTAATATCATACGATTTCTGTGTATAGTATTTGAGGTATGAAATAAAATGTCAAAATTGTTTCAACTCTCCTCGGTCTCCCCTAGGATGTTAACTAATTTATTATCATTCGACAACTCGATGCTTTATTTAATCGGATGCAAGTGCTATCGTATCGAGACAAGGGGGGATGATGTAGAAAAATAAAACACGTTTTTATTTTTATTTTCTTTATTTTCTCGGTCAGACCGCGAACTTTTCAATCCACCGTCTTAGGACAGCCAGAAAGATTTTATTACAAGTTTATGTATACTATAAGTGAAATTACTCTTCCGACCCAACTTAAAACATCAAAAGCCTGTAGTTATGGATACCTATAAAGTGGTTAGGTAATTCTGTACTTTAAACGCGAGGAGCATCGCATCCGTTTCAATGTTTCCCGTTATGATGTTCCAGGCGCAGAGTTCCCCCGGCAGCAGCACGACGGCGTCCTCGTCGGCGAAGGGGCGCGCGTCCCCCGAGGGCCCGTGCGCGCGCGACGCCTACGACGACCCCGAGGCGTTCCGCAACAACAGCATCGCCTGCCTGCGCGCCAAGGCGCAGGAGCACCAGGCGCGTCTGCTCTCCAGCAACCTGCTGCTGCAGGTGCGTGCCTCATACATATAATGCGAGCAGACGCGGCTAGCGATGGATCTGTCCGTTCTCTACAAGTTTTTCGATCACGATTAACTCCCGTGCATCTCGGTGCACTATAGGTATGATTTATTTAAAATGAAGCATTCCTAGTTCCCGATTCGGTGCTAGGCAAATGAATCACCGCCGACCTGTGCCGAATGCTCCCTTTACTTAACGTTTAAATTCAAAGACATTTATTCAATCTAGGCCGTTCCGAGCACCCGTGGATGTCGAAAATTGTATCGGATACATCTGTGGATCTCTTCTAACATGAAATCGTTTGTTCTACATCAGGTTCGAGGGTTGTCGCGCCCGGAGAGCGGCGAAGAAGAATGCCCGGCGGACATCGACGTGGGCACGGAGCGGCCCCCCTCCCCGCCGCGCGCGGCCCCGCCCCCGCACGCGCACGCCCCGCCCCCGCACGCACACGCCCCGCCCCCGCACGCGCACGCGCCGCACCCGCGCCTGTACTGACCGCCGCGCGCCTCACCCGCCCTGCGTCCTGCGACCGAACGACCAGACTCCTTCGCTCCCACTGGCCCTGTAAGGAACTAAAAACTTCCAAGTTCTAATTTCAAATGCAAAAATGTTTTCGGTGTTTACTTCGGGACTGACAACGTTTCTGACGATTCTTCTATATTTTTGTACCATCCCATTCAATATAGAAGAGGGGCATATTCATGGCATTCCTTAAAAGAGTCCATTCAATTAAATTCTAATCGAATTACTATTGTAAATTCATTTATTTATACCTCAAGCCGTGTCGAGTGTACCACCATGGTGAAGTCACCGGTCCGCGAGGCGCTGTAATTATGTAAATTGTTAGCTGTAAATGTATTTAACGCCCCCAGTTTTCGTGCAATACCTTCGTTTAAGTATTTATATGTAGCTGCGTTGTTTATTAGTATTGTATAAAGTTCGGACGCCAGCCTTCTACCCTGTAGTACGTACGAACGAAACTGTAAATCGAATTAGATAATAAATAATTGGCGCTAAGTTCGGTGTAAGCATGTGTCCGTAAGGTTGTTTGTTAACAAATATTGTTTATGTTTAGAAAAAACTAGGCTTCTAAAATATGACTATACCTAAATATAATAACAACGAAATTCGATTACCTATTCATCACTTGTATAAATTACTTCATGCCTAAAATTTTATGCATTTTTATTAAAAATAATTAAAATAATGAAAAGTGAAACGAAAAATCAAAAGTACCTCTGTGATTATTTATATCTTATATTAAGACGCAACTAAATCGAAAGTCATCGAAAACATTCCATAAAAGACTTTGTTTTTGTGTAATTAACTAATTAGCTGTACGCCAGCGCCCACTTGATATGTAGATAATCCTATCTTACAGACTTATGTCTAACCTTCGTATTCATATAATTTTAAATTATTTAAATATTACAGTAAATATTTTTAATATAAGGAGCAATCATCATACTTAATTTTGTACTTACCTTAAATAACAACAATTTGCAAAAAGTTCTCACTCGCTTAGAATTATTTATGACCACATTATACTTAGATGCACGACTTTTAAAAGTGCACAAAATGTTAATTCTTTAAATTAAGTAACAATACGAAATCCTATTTTTCGTGTAAAGTATCATCCTTCAGTATCAAAGATTTTTGTTTTAGAATTACCGAAAAAATACATTTATCCCAACCCAGGCGTTTTTATAGTTCAATTTAATTGTAGTACCTAACACTTTGTAAATGTTAAAAAGTTAATTCACTGTGTTCGTGTCAGGGGGACGTAACAAGCCATAAAATAAATTTTAATATTACATACTTATTACAAAAGGTTCCTGTTTGGGCGCCAAATAGCATTATTTTAATTATTGGCACCCAAGCAGTAATATATTTGATGAATATACCAACAGCAAAAAAACTAATATTTTCAAAAATAAAAAAATCGGTATCATCTTATAAACCCCCAGGCGTACAACAATACTTTGCATTAGGTATTTAAACTTTTTCAAAAATATGTTACAAAGACAAATAGTTTTCAGCTTGTCGGTACGTTCACTTGGCCACGGTATACACGAGTGATCTTTCGTAACATGTAAGTACTTAAATATAATGATAGAATTGTAATATATTTATTGAAATTAAACCGAGTTAAGTGAGACGACGTCATCGTGATACTTAAGATTATTCCGATGAATAAAAAATATATAAACCATAATTTGTTTCATTTTACCTTATTTAAATAAAACCACGAAATGATTTCCTATAATCTCGAGTGCTTCAATATTTATTTACAATTTAAAGTAAATATTAGATTCCATCTTGAATACATATACACAAATACATTAAGAATACAACAATGTTACCTTGCTTACTTCAGAGAAATATATTTGCAAATAATGTAACGACTACTACAATACTATTGGTTAAAGAGAGTTCCCTAGAAGGGCCGAAGTCAAAGAGCAAAAACACAAGGCTCTGTAGACCAAATGACCACCATGGAAGTTAAACAGGCAGTTTTGAAAATAAAAAAAAATAAAATAAAATGACAATGAAATCATAAAGCCTAGTCCTGAAAATATTACGGTGAAACTATGGCAATTTTTTCAAGTGATTGGAGAATTTTGGCTAAAAAATCTATTTAACAACATCCTAAGTCGCCAAGAAATACCAGATGTCAGAAGAAAAAAACACCCATCCCATTCTACAAGCACAAAGGTGACGTTAGAGAGTGCTGGACATTTGGAGACATAAAACTTATCTCACATATCATGCAGATCTAGGAGCATATGATCTGTTAAAGTCTTGAATCTATAATTTCTCATACAGAACTCATACAAACTAATTTTTAGTTTAATTAACGACAAAAAAAGGGAACCACTGATGCTATTCATGCCGCAAGACTGATAATGGAAAACACTTAAAATTAACCAAGGTCTATGGATGGGTGTTTATTGAAATCGAGAGTGTTTGAATGTGTTCTTAGAACAAAATGGTAAGCTCTTAGATATCACAGCGTACTGAAAAGCTATATCCGCATCATAATGGACATGTATCACGATATCTACCTACACATCTGTAAGAAGTCCATCTGGTCTATATGACAGTACTTATACTAGTGGGTGTACCTCAGGGTTGTGCATTAAACCCTTTGCTTTTTAATGTCTAAACACCTCCTCCTTTTTTGAAATCGGTTAAAAATACAAATCCGACCCCATGGAATATTTTGTACACTGACGCCGCAGCAAGAACCTAGAAAATATGGAATGGAGGGAATCGTTAGAGCAAGAAGGTTTGCATATAAGTAAGACAAACCAAAATAGATATTCGGTAACTTCAACTCACAACGCTCAAGCTGACCCAGGCATTACGCTAAGCGGCATGGTCACCCTTATTTAATGGTTAAAATATTTTAAAGGGCGTCATTCTTTGTGGTTCTCTGTTGTCCTACGCACTCTTATCACTTTACCTCAAAAACAGTTGAGCGCACAAAAAACTTTAGAATAGAATTTGTTGCAATCTTAATTCTCTATATTCGTGATGTTAACTTTTGAAAAGACGACAAGAGATTTGATGAAATTTGAGACATAGTTTTGAAGCTAAAATAAACGTTTATTATTATAAACTAGTGGTTTCAGCTTAGCCTTCATTATTTTGTTTTAATCTCTCATTAGAATGATGAATTCTACGAGATTACTGCCACGTACCTTTTTTATATCGGTGGCACGATAGAATAACGCACATATGTACCTTACATGGTAGCAATCCCATAGATAACAATCAATTTAATGTCATCTCATTCCGAGGTTGAGCCCCTTCTTATGTTTATTTAACAGGACTATTCATATATATATAAAACAAATTTAAAGTATGATATTCATAACTGAAACATGATCGTCATAGCAATAAGATTAGAAATATATTATAAAATGTGCAAATAAAATACTTTGACGCATTTAAAAGTGAATTTTATTACGTAATACTTAACTATTACACATCGACAAATCATGCTTACAAATAATAAAAAAATAATCGCACAATATCAAAAATAACATCAGAAATTACATAAATATATAACGAATCAATGAATAGAGTATTCATTCATAATTTTCAATCGACATCTTATGACTTACAAAAGACAGCTCTTAAAAATAAAAACAACATTTACATAAGCCGCACGTACGTATCAATTAAATGCATAAAATACAATAGATTTCTGAGATTTTTTGGTAATAAAAACAAACACTACTAGATAAAAACATAAGGAGCATCTTGAATGCAAACAGCTTTAATAAAATATACTAAGGGTATGTTCCGATATACACTGCGACCACTGAACAGTATGACGTCAATTTAGTATACTGGAAGCCCGTTCCTTTATAGCTAGTTATACTGGTGACTTTTTAAAACGGAACGCAGTCCAGTATACTGTTAATCCTATTTTTTGGCGCCATTTTCAAATTTGTTAATGCAAGGTGAATTATAAATATAAAGATTCCCTCTTTTCAAAAGAAAATATTATAAAATTGGAAAATTGTATAAAAATTTTTTTTATACAATTTATCCATCTTATAATAAACGTAAGTATTTTTTTTTGGTTATTTAGAAACTTATAATTTTCTGATTCTGTTTCGACTGATCACGTGATCAAAAGCACTGCGAGCACCTTACCTCGAAATCTCCAGTGCTCACAGTACAAATATGGCGGCAATTTATGACGTTATAAGTTTCCCTAGGGTACTGTAGCAGTGTACTGGCAGTCCATAACGGAACGGATTTTTCAGCAGTAAGACCACTGCGCAGTGCTCGCAGTGTATATCGGAACATACCCATAATATATAATTGCTGTTATATTAACTGAAAATCAGCTCGACCTGTACAGGATAACAATGTAATTACAATATAATATGATTACACCAACACCGACAAGTTTCGCAACATTAAGCCACTGAATCAGGCACGTCCGACTTTAAAATGGCACTTCGTATTTTAAATAGATGCAACATCTTATTTTGTAAAACACTCTCTAACAACTCTTAATGCTATACTATTATTATAATATGTATATTTAAAAATTGCGCAATTATGTAACTTGTAATAATAATAGTGAGGATAAAATGCAGTAATTAAATACGTGTATCGAATAATGCTGCATTAGTATAATTATTATACATATACTATTTATATCATAAAATTTATAAAGTAATATTATATACAGAGTGGACCAAAAGTCCGTTAACATTTGAATCGGTTGCCGCGGCTAGCAGCGGCGGCGGAGGGGGGGTGGAGGGGCTACGCATTGAAAGAGACGCCAAAGCGAATTTAGTACCATGGCGTCGTTCAGCGGTACTCAACATGCGTTTTGTGTACACGAGTACTATGAAACAACGGTTCTGCAACCTTAGCTCAACGAAAGTTTTGCGATCATTACAAGATACGACACAAAAATCAAGCTCCATCAGGTGTGTTAATTCAAAATTGAGTGCTCAAGTTTGAGAAGACGGTTTCAACAATGAATTTCGACCTCGTTATGGTCGGCCTAGAACGCCGAGGGACCCCGAAAACGTGGACCGAGAAAAATCGTCTGTTCGTGACCGAACTGGACTTTCAACTCGCAAGCGGTCTGCTGTCCTTAACGTGCCAAGAACATCATTAAACTGCATTGTCAAGAAATATTTACGTCAACATCCCTATAAAATCCAAATGGTCCAAAAATTAAGGCCTCAGGACCATGCCACTAGGTTGCAAACGATTAACCAGCTTTACAAACATTTTTTTCTAAGACGAGGCACACTTCCACCTAAATGGGCATGTTAATAGACAAAATTTTCGTTATTGGAGTGACATTAATCCGAAATTAAAGCATTGAATACCCTTGCATTCACCCAAAGTCACAGAATGGGCTGCTTTATCAGCAAGAGGCATTATTGGTCCATTATTGGTCCACTTTTTTGAAGACTTAAGAGGACGTGCGGTTACGGTGACTTCTAAGCGAAAAACGCTCCAGCGATGCAGGATTTTGCTGGCTTTAATCATGGTTTCAGCAAGATGGAGCCACTTGTCATACATGTAAGGACTAATTAAGGGCAGCTCGAGACATTTTGGCCCAAAGGTGATATCGAAAAGAGGGGACATTAACTGGCCGCCTTGAAGTCCGGATCTATCCCCATTGGATTTTTTCTTTGGGGATATATTTAAGCTAAAATTTACGATAACGACCCAGTAACTCCTGACGAATTAAAGGATCTTATTCGCACAGAAATCCAAAACATCTCAACAGAAACATGTAAAGCTGTTATCGAAAATTTCCGCTCTAGGTTACAGCAATGCTAGAATAATGAAGGATTGCATATGGATTATGTGACTTTTAAGAAATAAATACCCCTTTTGTTTACTATCAAAAACAACAAACAATTTTAATCTACTGTCATTTTTTTAATCATCATTTCAGATTTAAAGGGATTTTTGGTCCACCCTGTATTACATATTTGTTAAAATTTTAAAATAACACTTTTGGAGACTCTTATTTTAGATCAATGATTATTGTAAAATAACAATATACATGAAGTAGGTAATTGATGAAATTTCATCCTAATGAGCTGCCATCGCATAGTTTTCATTATCATAGAACAACAAGTCATTACAATATAAAAAGTAGGATTACATTATTGTCGCTTTAATATATTTCAATAACAAAAATAAAAGCAGTATCAAAAAGTTTGTAAAAGCGTATTACAAAATTATATTTATAATATACAGTTCCTGTAAGTACACGTTTTATAAAATTTGAACTGATCAATGTATGTATAAAAGCAGATAGTTAAATGATTTTTTTTCCAAGTTAAAAGTCACACTTACAATTTACTTACCTAAAAATTTGTTACTTGAGTAAATAGTGAGTTTTCCAGTTTAATTTCCAGTTTCCAGTTTAATTTTAACAAAACTCAGTTCTTTAAAATGTCTTTTGTATTCTAAGTACCCGGAGGCAAGATTAAAGGATACGCAAAAAGGAGAAAGTTTATTTTTGTTGAAGCTAGAACGTCACATCACAGACAACGTGTTTTTAATTGACCTAAAAAATATAATTAAAGCGTTAGGTAGCTTATCAAAGGTAACCTTCCCGTTTCAATATAATTTTTGGAATATTGCTTAACTTTTATTAAGTTTTTCTGAAGTCGGCTTTAATTTTCATTTTTTACTCTCTAGTTTAAATTTTTTACTATTGATGAAAATGTTTATATTCTATAAAACAATGTGACCAACATTTTTATAATATTGAATCAAATACATTATGAATGTTACAATATATACGGAAACTAAAATAAAACAAAAGAATGTGAAATATTAAAAATAATAATAAGTCAACGCCATCTAGTGACGTACCAGTTTAATCTTTTGAACACTTATATAACAAACGTTTTGTAAAATTGCATCGCTTACGGAAATTTGTTATTTCCAATACAAAGACCGTCCATCTAAGTAATCCCGGTAGTGGAAACGTTTGATTCTATAATAGCACTACTCATGTTAGTTGTATATATAAACTACACGACAATTATTAATTAAAAGCACATCACGACACTAACGCTTACTTCTAACCTAACTACAATAAACATGTTTAACTTACATCAAGTTTCACCTATCCGATTACCAAATACAAATTTTTAATTTGTGTTTTTCATTAGTATTAAGTGTAATTAATAACGCGGCACGTATTAGCGCTGGACGTTATTCGCGTGTAACTAGTGATCTGCCTGAATAATTGTTTATTATCCACAACACTTTAACGTCAAGTTGAATTCACACACATACAAGTAACATAACGCGCATTATACAACTAGTATATAATATTCAGACCTCAAACAGTAAGTTAAAATTATAAAAACAGTGTAAGCACTAAAATAAATATAAAATATATGTATTAATTTTTCTGATGCTCTCTCTAATTATGTTAAAGAGGTTAACTGAAATCTTTGTTCTTAAAAAAGTCTTCTATTATCGTTGGCTCTTAAGCAATATTTACGCTGGAGATTAAGCGCACGCAGCCTCGTAATGAGTATTATTATACATCTGATTTCACAAAAAAGTTTGATATTTATAACCTTGTAATTGTTCTTTACTATTTGAGAAAAACGTAGGGATGCAACGAAGTCCACAGGCAAGAGGTTCCCGCGGTAACTTGCTTACACCCGACTTCAAATAGAAAAACAAGTACAGGATTTTATATCCATACAGACAGACAGCCATATCTTCGAGAAACTTTATTTTAATCAATAAATTACACTGCCCATTTTTTTCTTGAATATTTAGTACCCTTGATAATATATATCAGATCTACTTCACTGAGTTTGAGAAACATTTTTGGTAATTCTTTGGCTTTACTTTTCTAGAAGGCATATTTAGAAAGAGCAACAGAAACGCAAAATGGAATCGTGAATCGGAACAGGTTGATATGAATAAATCTGTATAAATGCCATAAATAAAAATACTTAAAACAAACTTAATTAGCACCAATACACTAAACATACAAATTAACTTGACTTCCTGAATTATCAAAAAACAGTTTCAATATTTTGTAGAATTAGAAGCAATAGACTAGTTGTTTTTTTTTAATTTTATATTTTAAATAATAATAATTAACAGCATGTGGGCGATTAATAATTTCGGAGATACGGTACTATGTTCGTAGGAACTGCCTGCTGCTAGTCGACCGAAAACGCTCCCTACAAACTCAAACCACTAAGTTGTGACGTCACAGTGTTACGGCAGCGGCAGAGATAAGACATTTTGAAAGTATTTGAAATTCAAAATACTTATTTCTAATTAGCTACTAACAAAATCTTATTTTCAATCAATTAACGTTACACTTTCATGAAAACATTTTCACAACAAAATAATGTTTGTTTGGCTTTGATTACAGTACATTGATTCATCTTTTGCTTCAACGTTTGCTAGAAACAGTTTTACTATAGTATGGATACTACAGTATGATAAAGGACTCTAAAGCTAAAGAAGCAATTTTGGCATCAGTGTCATATTTTTTTTTTAAATTAAAATGAGAGCCAAATAGAAGTAGGGAGAACAAAGGAATTATTTCTAGCAGAAGTGAGAAAATTTAAAAATCAATGCCACTATATGTTCCAGGATGATATTTAAAGGACGATGTCTACCTACAATCATTAAATATATACCCTACAATACAGCGAAGACGGTCTTCTTGAAATATAATACCTGCGTGCCTAGCTCTGCGCAGGTAGAAAGGCTATTTTCACAATCACAGAAGAACATAGTAGACAGTTTATTCGAGCAAATTGTTGTGTTAATATCCGTACAGTAAATTCAATTCGATCACTTATTTAAATAATTCTAATAAAGAAAAACAAAGTTTAAAACTAAAGGTATTTATTTTAATAAAGTATTTTGGAAATGCGTATTTTGTATTTAATATTTTAAATATAAAGTGAAATACTATTTTGTAACTGAATAAAAAAAAATACAAATATTTACATTTTGTATTTAAATACATTTTATAATATATTTTGCACATCTCTGTGTAGTGAAAAAGGTATGGACGTCTGGGCAATCTTTGTTATTTTTGCGTTTATGTACTACTTTTTTCAAGTGTTCAAAGCGTAATATTGTTAAATATTTCTAGGTTAGTACAGATCATAATTGCCGATCATATAACAGAAACCTGAATTTTCACTTGTACGACGCAACCCTATTAGCTTAAAAATGGAAATCGATTTCTTTTTTTTAGTTAATTTGTTATATTGTCTTAAGAACCAAATGAAAAATCAAATTGAAACCTTCTGTTGACTTTAAGCTACATGTGGGTACTTATTAATGTGTATAACAACAATTGTAATGCGACTATAAAAATAATATATTAAATTGAAACTTACTGTGTCACATAATTAATTAAAATGTAAACTTCATCTTAAATGGAATAGTTATAAATGCTTTCCGAGCTTATATCATTATAAACATTATCATTGTTTGTGAACTGAATAAATGAATAATAAACATTAATAATTTCAAAAAGTAAATAGTTATTTGAAAGTGTATATTTTCAGTAACATTGCTCATATCTCATGTACAACTTTATTTGTTGTAATAAAAATGATTTTATCGACTTCATATTATTAAACTTCACATAAAAAAAATTGAGATAAAAATTCATTTCACAAACTTCATACAAAATATATTCATAAGAATAAAAAGTAGTTTGTTTCTTACACCACTGGAATAAAAAACCAAGCATTTGACATAATACCTGCGTAATAAAACTACATGTCGCCCGTCCCTGTTTCGCTCGTGTGGTGTGAGGGGGACGGCCATGTTCAGTAGTCGTACTTGGAGGGTCCCTGCATGTCCTCGGCGCTCTTCAGCATGAGGTGGTAGCTGTTCACGCACAGGATGCAGTATATCAAAACACCTGAAATTGTACACAAATATATGTTTTTAAAAATGACTGTGACTTACTTTCGTCCAACGAAATATATTCGCGTGGAAATTTCATCCTAATAAACGTGAAGTTAAACGGATGAGTAAGTGATTTTTTTTAACTTTTTTAATAAAATATAGCGGACCCAACTGGAGTCAGTTGGGTCCGCTATACATTTATACAATCACAAACGAGTGTTTATAATTGTAGAAATAATACAATTATAAACGATTTACAACAACTACAGTTGAAATTTTTTTTTCAAGGTCCATTACATTTAGTTATCAAGAGAAAAAAGTTTTTTTTTTTAACCTTTTACTAAATTAAACCACGTTTACTAACGCAACAGCAGCGGCGTTACCTTCACTGGAGCCGATACAGCCAAAAATAAAACTATTCAAATGCGAAACGGAGCAATAACAAACTATAAATATTAATCGACTTTGTATTTTATTAATAACACGTTAGGGTTTAGAATACATGGGGGAATTTTTTTTCTGATAACGCTGTTAACTATAGACTTAAGATATTGTTTTCTTATACACAACACACAGAAATATCTTGTCAAGGTTAATCAAATTAAAGTTTATTTTATCTGTTGAAAATAAATCCAAAACGACTGCAAATTGAAATCGTACAAAAGATGATTTAATTACGTGCATGCATTATAAAGTAGAATTACTGCAAATTATTTTTTCTCATTTATTTCATACATTTTTTACACATTAAAACCAAAAAATATGGCCAAAATTGTAAAATTGTTGACATCAACTGCATTTTCATAATTCAAATGTGTCGGTGTTTTTATTTTGAATAAGGTTGTTATTATTCTAATAATTGCAAATTGGACGAGTCGCGCGCGTGTACGCTCCGTCTGTCAACTTTATCAAATATAATGTTTTTTGTTTGATCAAGTGGGGCCCACAAACAATGTGCGTGGTTTAAACCATTAGTTTATTTGAAAACCTGAAAAATTATTAATAGATAGGTGATCATTTCAACAAGAACCAGGTTTCACGAAGGCTTATTTCTTATTAAGAAATAAGCCGAAACACCCCTAAAGGCAGATCAGAGCGTCAAAAATAGAATGATATGTAGAAGTCCTCATATCAAGTTTCGACTTTAGAATAATACGATTGTGTTATAATATGTTATCTAAAAAATATAATTATACCCCTTGTATATAACAGAATAAGTGTTGTGTTATCTTGGTTAGAATTGAGAGGATTAAAATGTCTCCATCGTCTCCCTGGTATGTACTTCTAAAAGTGTAAAACATCAAAAGTGAATAGTGTAGTGTAGTGTGTATAATGAATGAATGACTCACCGAAGAAGACCACTCCCTCGAGGAAGGAGAGGAAGATGTCGGAGCCGGAGTCGCGCGGCCCCCACAGCGCCGCCGTCACGCACACATACACGGCCGCGCACGCACACACGCAACACATCACGCACACCCACACGCACACGCCGCGCCACCAACGCTACAAACACACACGCACACATTACACTACGTAACAATATACATATAAGTCCGGTAAATTGCTAATTCGCTGGAACGTTGTCTATGAACATCATTTAAAAATAAAAAGTATAGATAGCACGAAATGCAAGGGATATCACACCACCAGCCCTTTTGCGTCTGCAGGGGCTCAGGCCTTCCTTATGGATGGTTAAGGAGGATGGGCCATGACCCTCCACGCTGGCCCAGAGTGGATTGGAGGGTATAAACGTTTGCATTTTTTTGTCAAACATCCCGTGACCGACCCTTGCGAAAGTTGCTTAACGACTAAGATCGCGGGCAGCGGCGCTTATCCACTACGCCACCGAGCTACTCACAAGGGATATATTATTTTTAATTATTGAAATATTTATAAGTAATCCCCGAAATATTGTTAAAATAATTTAATAACTTTTAGCTTGTTAATTTATTGTATTAATTTTTAGGAAGGGACGATTTATACGAATATTTTATATTGAGATATATGGAAAATAAAAATAAAAATATGCAAAAATTACATTTACTTTGTAATAACGCAAAAAACAAACGGAAAGGACATTTTTTTAAACAAAGCCAAAAGATTTTAATAATGGATTGAAAGAAATTAGATATATTTATTATTAGAAATTAGGTTTACTTGTAGTGTATTTTCTATAATAACAGTTGTAATTTTAGTTAGCAAAAACAACGAAAATAGTGTGCCTCTCAACACGACCCAACTCAATAAGTGTACACTTCAACCAGTGTTTATTTGTTAACGTCATCAGTACCGTTGTCAAACTCAATTGCGTAGGCGCATTAGCAATTTTCGGGGATTATACGTCACGGGTGCAATGTGATGTGCTCGTAAAATAACACGTCCATTGATTTGTATGGGACCCATATTCGAGTTTTGAGGTTCCCCAGTAGATCCAGGAAATCATTAAACATTGAACGATTCTAATGATATCAGAAATCTAATGTCACATGTCAATAATTTGCAATATGCATAGAAAATTCGTTTCGTCCGCCTCCTTCGGCCATGATAGCTCACCTTGTATACCGACACGAGCAGTGTAACGGCCAGTAGCGCGTGGGCGACGCTCACTATCGCCACGGTGACAGAGATGGTGTACCACATGGTGTAGAGGTTGTCCTCCGAGTCCTCCACCGTGCCCACGAACCCCCCCACTTGGTCCGCGAACAGCGAACACATCACCATCATAGACAACGATATCAACTGGAACATACATACACACAGTAAGCGGCAAGGTAATTCTAAGTCGCTACCGTTCCTCCACTGAGACATAGCCGTATGTATGGTCGAATAGGCTAGTTGACAACTTTTTTTTTATTTCATAAATAAATAGTCCATTAACATTCGAGAAATAATGTCGAAGTAACAGCATGTCTGCGATTAATAGTTTCGGAGATACGGTGCTGTGTTTGTAGAACTGCCGCTAGTTGGCCAAAAACGCTCCCTACAAATTCAAGGCACTAAGTGACGTCACATGGTGGTTTGTAATATCTTTATTATTTGTGCGTTTATGTTTATAGTTGTTATAATGAAAATTGTAACATTTTTTATATCTAATTTAATGCCTAATGTATTTTAGCAAATTTTTGTAGTAGATTTTTTCTACTTTTTTCAAGTTTTCAAAGCGTAAAATTTTCCAAATCAGTGACTTAAAATTTGTTTTGTTAAACAATTATAAGTTAAAATGGTTCATATTTTTCGAAGATATAACAAAAACCTGTATTTTCACTTGTAGGACACAAGCCTATTGCCAGAGAGAACAGGTCATACACTCACTGTGCGGGTCCAGTACGCATCTATAGGTGATAACGACTGTCAAACATGCAGAGGAGCGATGAAATTCAACCCAATTCTATTTAAACCCAAAGTGAATGAGCTCTTTTTTTTTAAAACTCGTCCCACTGTGAGCTCATTGATTAATAAAAAAAGATCTCTTTCAGACATGGAACATAATCTTTAGTTTTCTTTGTATCTCTACAAAAACAATATTGAAATTGAGTAGATCCCATTATATTACGTTTGGAATTGGTTATAAATAAATCCACTCACCAGATGCAGGTAGCCGATAACTTTCGCCCCCTGCTCCAGGCCCATGCACCAGCAGAAAGTAGTCACGTGTGGTACACCCATCTTGGAACACGACCACTGATGATTTTCTTCTCTGAAAGCAACACATGAAGGAAAATCAAAATGTGTCGTTGAAATCGTCACCAGCCTATCAATGTCTTTGTGAATAGAACTACATAGATTGAGCGACCTATAATCCACCACTTACGTGTAGGACTCAGTATGGGTCAGTAGGTGTTCAAAACTGCAAATGCAGTCGAGATGGTGTTATCCGTAGCATGGAGAAATTACCCATCTGGTATTATTAATTACAAATGAGTCATTATTTATAATAAAACAAGTTGTGATTATAATACGGACTGCTTTTTACTTTCCGCCCAACCTAAATTTGATTAAGCAATATTTTCTAAAAATTAGAAATCTAATTTAAAATCAAAGTGAAAGAGTCTAGTACTCGTAGACACTCACTGCGCAGGAGTTGGCTCCATCTCTCTGAACAGTTTATGATAGACTGATGAGCCAGTCACATCGCATCACTCAGAATCGATCCAGGTATTTAGTTTACACACGAATGTTGATAGTTACACAGTGACCTAAGTCATAAGCTTTCAATTTTTCTTCAATCGATCATGTGTGGTAGTTAATAAATGTGGGGCACTCCATAGATGATTGATACCTTATTCGTATAAAGATTTAAGAGTACCTGTTTTGTAACACATTGCTTACTGCTGCTGTGTATGGAAACAACAAGAAACTATTTTTTAATTACTGACGTATGCACTTTCGTGTTTATCCAAAACTGATAATTCTCAAGTAAATTTTGTCTAAGCTGATATGCAGACGAATTTGCCGACGTCGATCTGTGTATCATCTCGTACTATTGTTACAAACATAACTACAAAGACTAGCTCGTAAATACGGTGCAAACGTAATTATTATTTGTACAGACATATACACCACCGTTCCGTCGAGATATCGCTAAAAGCTGGTGCCTCGGGTCCGCCACTAAAGTCCCGTAGGGCGAACCCTCCAAGGTCGATTGGCAACAAGTTATTGATCAAACTTTTCTCACGACGATTACAAAGGACGTTATACATTTAAACGGATATTGTAATTAAGACGACAAACAACTTCATATTCTGTTAAACTAACAAAAATAAATATAAAATGTGATAAATAATACTATAAAAGAGTGACTATATAGTATTCTCGAATAAATCAATTTTTAAGTTAAATATAATTTATCACTTCTTTAAAGTTTGACATCGATTCTATGTTTTTTTTTTTTTTTGTAATTTTTACTTCATGCTTTTTAGTAATATTTATATTTTTTATATAATAGATAACTAAGAATATTAAATAGCAGCTTTCCGCCAGCGGCTTCGCCCGCGGGGTCCCTGGGGTACTGTTTATTTGGATATCGATGACACGGATACAATTACGTACTATGACAAATTGAATAGTAAACAATGGTTACTCTGGTAACGTTTTAATTTACAATATTCCACTCCAATTTTCATCCCTTTATTTGCTGCTTTTCGGGATAAATTTTTAAAATCGTTACAGTAATTTCAGAGCATATTCGTAGTAAACAAACAAATTGTTCCTTTATATAATACTAATATAGATCTATATAAATAAAAATATTTAACACAGTGAAAGTCATAGAAAATATTTGTTTATTTGCTCAACATATTTTTTTTTTCCAAATAATTCTATACACATATTATACAGAGGAAAGATTTGATTGCTTGTTTGTTTGCATTGGATACGCTCCGAAACTATTGGACCTATTTATAAAAGTCTTTCATCACGGGAAGCTAATTTATAAAAAAATATACATATTCATTGAACATTGAAAATCCTCCTTTGGGATTTTGAATGAATTCAAAATACACAATCTTTTGTTTTTCAGTTAAGAGACATGAATTACAATACATATCATCTAAATATTTAGGTGATATGTGGTGAAAAGCGTATTTTATTTGATATAAAAGAAAACTACCGATTCGATTTCGATTTTAAATGTGGTCCCATTTAAAATTAAGCTCGGTCTATTAAAATGTCACAAAATATTTTTTAAAATCGGTCAAAATTTAGCCAAAATATCGGTGATAATACATAAAAAAAAACATACATCTCCGTCGAACATATAACTCCTCCTTTTGAATTTTAAGTCGATTATAAACTTCATTTTCATGCAAAATTTTCGGGCAATCTCTAAATAATTTTAATAACGTGTTTGTCGTATATCTAGTAATAATTTTGCAGCGGGATCAGTTGACAAAAAGGCATAGGTAGTGTCTTAAATAGACAAGGCGTTAAGACTTCCTCAAAATATTCTTATGCAACGGTGAAATCCGTTACCTGTTTTAGAAGGAGTTAAGAAATTTCTTCCCGCTTGGTTTAGGTTTTGGGTAAAAATGTCGCACGGAATACGAAAGGTTACGGGTTCGAATCCCATCTCAGATACCTGCGCGTAGTGTAGTGATCTTCTTAAGCTATTTTCTTTAAGGTAATGTAGATATTGTTTCGTCACAAAGTGCACCCCCTGTATAAGCAAACAAAAACCGTTTCGGCAGATGCAATGCAGTCTGTTAAGTGTTCACAGCTACTGGACCGGTTCCCGACTAGTCAACTTAATTACTGACCATTACCTTCACCACCACGTGAGACATTGAAACATTGCGAACATGCGCCAGTAAACGAGGTTGCCATACAATCTACAATAATATTATAAAGAGAAAATTTTGATTGTATGTTTATTTGCATTGAATAGGCAACAAAACTGCGCGCCCTATCTTAAAAAATCTTTCACCTGTGGGAAGCTACATAATTTATATATACATATTATTACAGTTTTGGAAGTACATTTTTGTATAAATTCGAATTTTTAGTCATCATTTAATTTAGTGCTCAACGTACTCAATCAAAATATTAGGTCATTAAAAATGTTGTACGCTTATAAAAATATATGGATCAATCTCAAGCCCTTAAGTTTTATAGTGTCGGGACGAAACTGGTTTTAACGACCGAAACCGAATTTCGGCAACAGTCTCACTTTCGGCGGCAACCGAAGCGGAAACCAGTCAGTCTTTATTTTTTATCCGACTGCAAAAGAAGGGTAATGTGTTTTTGCGTATGTCTTGTATGTAGCTCGTATCTCTAGAACTGCTTAACGGATTTACATACTTGAATCGCCCGGATTGCGAGAGGTCTAGAAAGAAACAAACGCTAAACTAGTAAATTAAAAAATCATAGTAATCATTAGTCTGCAAATGGCAACGATTAAATGCTGCTATTGTTATTACTTAGAAGTATTTATAATTCAACAATCTTATATTATAAGTGGGTAAGCGATGTTCGTATAGATATAGCATCATCGAGATAGTTAACAAAATATATTCAGCTAGGTTACACTTGATTATACTATAATATATGAACTTATATTGTTTGTCACTTACTACCTACTCGCTACTATATCATATGACAAAGCTTACCGAATTCAGAATAAATCACACCACAACTCACAACGATCAAAACACAAGCCAATCATGACATAATAGTGTAGACAATTAAATTTTTTTTTCGTCCCTCTGGTACTTTATTGAAGTAATCAATAAATTGAGTAGAAATGTTGCATGAAGTCACGCTTTTATACATTTTCTACAATACTGTGACGTAGCGAGCCCCCACTCCTCAACTTTTATGCCTATTATCTAAGCCATTTCTTGTTCAAACTGAAGCAAAAAAATACATGTCATATATTTTTCTATTATCTGACTGACGGAATAAATAGGATTTGTTTTTTTTTATTGTCGTCATCCCTATTAGCCACGAAAAAGCGGCAAATATCTTCGTCGCCGATTGGATAAAATGCAATGCGAGAACGCGAATGCAGTTTCGGTTTCGATCGTAGTGTCGGCAGGTTTGACACCGAAACCGAAACCCGGTTTTTACCCGAAACTCGATCGAAACCAAAAATTCGGTCGAACACTAAATTTTTATATTTAAATTGAAAATATGTAAATCTGTTAACTAATGAGTTAATGACGCACAATAACCTTATTGTAAACATCCTACTTTGAAGTCGGTTAAATAACTTCATATTTTGTAATCAATCAAACATTATTATATCTTCATTCATCGAATGTGATTATATAAGAGACTATAAATAAAATTTCGAAAGCAATAATCTGCAAAAATGAAACAACCAAAATGAAACTATTGGCAAAACACACATAGCTACTTTACTTGGTAAAATATGGTAATATATGTGTACAATACAAAAGCCAGCAACAGTGAAATAAACCTAAATACGAGGGTGATACATTCCTATCTACAAATCTACATTATGCTATTCAGATAAGCTTGTGATGTGTACAATTGGTGTGTTTATTTTTGTGAAGGTCACTCGCAATGCTCCGTTGAATTTTGTCGAGTCGCTAGCGAATTTTCTAAATGAACGTAAGTACAACCGAGGAATTAAACCATCTTGTATTTGTGGATACAAGATCCACGTTACACAAAAAATAATAGTAGTTATCAACCTATTAATGTCCCTTCCCCCTATAAATGTTGAATGAAATAGATATTTGTAAGAACTATGTTATATCAAACACAAAATACTACCGTCTAAGGTGAAAACTTTCTCGGTCGTGCGGGCGACAGACAGCAGCAAAACTAATTCGCCAATTGAATCATTGTGTCACTGGTGAAGTTCCAAATTGATTGCTGAACTTTGTCGTTCGATCGTAACATATAATTAAAAAGAGCTGATATAAAATAAGACATGTGAAACTTTTGAATAAAATACGGTTGAGTATTCAATGATCTGCAAACACGAAATATAAATGCGCGGCTTTCCAGTGTAGCCTATTAGGTACCATCATATACATTGGTCACTGTACAAAAACTTTGTGTAAAGTACCTAAGTGTCTCAATGCACATAAAATCACTCCGCTACTCTCTGGTTTGTATTTGGACTTTATTAGTTATCTACTTCGATTGTAAAAAAACGTAAATAAAAAACCTAACGTGATTTATTTCGGCAACCCTAACCCAGATATTAGCGAGAGTGAATGGCCGAAACTCGACGATCGATGCTTTAGTTCCTGTAACGTCATCTCCGTCTAGCAGCATATAACTTTTGTGTATCTCTATATAAGCCTACGTCTGCCTTGTTATTGTTTGGC